GCGTGCGCCGGGGCGGAGAGATCCCGGCGGAAAGATGCGCAGAGCCCACTGGCTAGGTCATGAGTGATTGTCCCCAAGAAGAGGCCTAGCTGCGGGAGCTTCTTCGCCCCCCTCCGGCCCCCTCTCCCCGCCGGCCACTTCCCCGCTTCCGGGGTCCTCGGCCTCCTAATGCAGTGTGCTTCTGGGCCCGGATTAGAGCTCGTCACTCCCTTCTCTTTCACCTGGGCGGCTCTTGTGGCCTCCCTACCTTTCCAGTAAGCTCTTTTCTTCCACCCGCCTCTGCTCTCCCTCGACTACTCTGATACCTTTTACTTCACTCCCTCCATCTCTGGAAGCCCCATGACCCCCAAATAAAGGCTATCCATTAAAACCTTTGTTCTGTCTCTGGTCTCTGAAAAACCCTACAGTCACCGCGATGCTGGACCCATCCCAGAGGGCTGCACAAGCAGATGCGCACACTTTATCCTGCATTATGGGCTAGAGTGGAGGAAAATGTTCATGGCCAGGGCAGTGCTGAGTAAATTTTTTTTCTCCCCTGGAAAGGGCGGAAGGCCAAATAAGACTAGAAACCTATGTGGCACAGGGTCTGTGCAGCATGTCAGCTTAGTGCGCCCTCTTGTCGGAAGTCCTGGGCAACGATCCCAGCCTTGAGCACCTGCTCAGGCCACACCGGGTGCACAGGAGTCGGTATCCAGCACAACAACAGAAGCAGGCCCTCCTGGCAGAGGGTCTGTGTAAAGGTCTAGGAGGCACAGGGACAAGGAGTTCACCGACAGCTATCCAATAGAAGTGCATGGAGCACTTGCTATGGGGCGCGGTGCTAAATGCTGGTGACTCAGGGCTGAATAGGCCATTATGGGGGGGCAGGGGGTGGCACCGATGGTGGGATGGGGATGAGTCCACAGGAGGGGCACCCACTGCCAGTTAGACCTCCCCCAAAGGCCCCAGTATCCAGGAGGGCAGCCAGATGGGCTATCTCGAGACGGAACTGGAATATCAGGCCCGGTTCTGCGCCTCTTGATGGTCAGGCACGGGGTGGACTGGGCGGAGGGTGGTGACGTCATCATATTTTTCCAGTGCTGCTCTGAGGCGTGACTTACAGTTTCTTTTTCAGCTCCTGAGGATACCTGGAGGCACAGCGAACACACCTATTGACTGCACAGACCCAGGACTGGTGCCTGGTCTACACGCCTAACAGCAGCCTGGTCTTTCTAAAACTTGGCAGGGGACAAGTCTTTGGTAAGTTTGGGGCAACGTGAGGGGGAGAGGGCTTAGACCTCTTTTTCTCGACATCTTAGTCTCACACCACCATAAACGAAGGACTCTGATCCTTTTATCTCAAACACACACACACACACCTACACACACACACACACACACACACACAAATCAGAAAAACCAAACCAAAAGAAAACAGAA